TCAAACCTTTTACGATGTAAGGGACCAAGGCCACTTTGAAGTTCAGGTACTTGACGAATTTTTATGTGTTGTAGTTCTAACAAACAACTATCCACATGATAGTATAAAATCTTTGAGTTACTCAGATGACAGAGACCTGTTTTACTGAAGAAATAGCTGTACAACATTTGGTGTGAAAATGTAAATGAAAGTCTCCTTGGATTTTTTTTTTTTCGAGTGATCAAAAATTGAGAATAAATGCACAATAGAGGATCTGTATTGAATAATTTGCAATTTGTTTTTTAAGGAACCTTGTTTATTCACACTGATTGACTGATGAGAAAAAAATTGCTTTAATCAATTTATCCAATCAGGGTTTGGCTTTGAGCATCTATTTTTCTCTTTGCCAATCACTGTCACTTTTTCCTTCATCAAAGGTGGTATTGTGAGGGAGAGGTGACAAAATAATTTATCAGTCTAAACAAGTCAAACAGAGTCACTTGGACTATTTTGTTGCCAGGCTAGTGAATTATGTACAAAAATTTACATTTGTGACAACTCTACAGTTAAATGTTATTGTCACACTTTTTATTGACTGTATCTAAATGGATAGAATGATGTCCTATAGATACTGCTGCTTTGAAATTTTCTCCTTTTTTTTTGTCTCGAGTATAACCACTTTTCAATTGATCTAACCCTTCAAGTCCCATGAGTGACCACGACCCAATTTCTCCTCTTGATATCAACACAGTATCAAGTGAAAAAGTAATGATAATCAAGAAAAAGATCATTTAGGAGATAATTAGTTTATCCAATGCCACATTCACTGAACTAACTTCATAATAATTGTATAACAGACAGTAAGAAGAATTATTAAAAGAGATCTTGGTAGTGAAAGGGTTCAGATAATGCCAATATTTCAATCAAGTTTTTCTTTCATGCCCTTTGAAGAATTGATTTTCCTTTGTTTTCTTCAGGGAGGTTGGTCACTTATCCACAGATTCTGTACCAGATCTTGTCTTGTGTTGCTGGCTAACTTATTGGTTTGGAAATTTCATTGTAAATAAGTTTTTTGAATAGTACAGTATTATTTGAAGTGCATGTTGAGTCAAATTCCTGTAACTAAAGATAAATAGATAACTCTGAGAGGAGGGGGCCAGGGATTGTTCCTCTGCTGGCATCCTCTCCTCCTGGCCACATGTGGAGACAATTAACAATTGACCATGTTTGGATGACAGGTCTGCTACTTATTCAAATAGATTGTCATTAAAAGAATTTAAAACATGGAAATAGAAACAATTGCTTGAAGGGTGTAATAGAGTGAAAGTAAAGTGGTCTAGTAGAATGTACAAATCCACATAGACTAGCCACTGTTTTAAATCATAGGTTTCTGACAGAAAATGTTGACCTTTAAATCTCAGACTGTGTGGGTGAATTCACTTTTTTTTTGCAGCCAATGACATCATCAGTTGCACCATCATCTCCTTCTAACAAGGAGACAACCAATTATGCTCGACTGTGTCGCCTTCTGGTGGGTGTTGGATCCCAGGTCTTGAGAGACACTTTTGATGCCATACACCCTCCAGTGACACTTCAATCAATTTTGAGGCATCAACCAATACATGAAACACTACAGGTTCTAGTGAAGAGGAGAGCCCTGAATCCTGCACTATGGGAAACTTTGTATCCAATTGATCCATCCTCTGTTTCATCAGCAAACTTTGATATTTTGTTACTGTTCATACTATTGTGTAATATCTGTGGGCTATCTCCTCCCGCAACTGGATGGGACAGTCTTCCATCCACTGCAGATGTTAGCAAGGAAGCCAACATAGCCAGGCTAAAGTACTACCATAATGTTGTGTACGGCAATACCAGCCAAGCCTCTGTGGATGATGCAACATTTAACAGCCACTGGCAGGATATCAGTGATGCTATAATAGGTCTGGGAGGAGTAACTTATAAATCTGCAATCGATAAGCTTAAGAATGAGNAGAGAATATAAAACCCCTGCTGCAAGGGGGATATATCTCTACTTATGAATAAGGGTAATATTCCTTCAGTTGTTTACAGGTAGTCACTTCATTCTGCTGAAGTGGAGACAAGGTCTGGGAGCTAAGAGAGCTAGTATTGTGCAAAGACTTTGCATTGGTCTTATTTATCCTTTGGAAAAATGCAATTGTTTCACCAGCATTTGGACTATACTAAACTACATAACTTCTGAAAAAAAAATGTCTTGACTTGGAGACAAAATCGCAATGTTGATTTAATGAAAAGTAAGGTTGAAGCCATTGGTGACAAACTGGATGCACTGATAGCCACACAGTAAGAAACAAAGTCTTATGGTCTTGCTCAGTTCTTGAAGAAAACTACTTTTTATTGGTTGGAAAAGCCAAACCAAAAATATGGTACAGTTTGGTGGAGATTAAGATTTGGGACAATTTGGCATGAGCAACTTCAATCTTGGCAATCTGTTCTTTGCTTCCCCCCCTCCCCCCTGACAAAGTTGGGTGTCCTGAATCTAACAATTTTGAACAATCTTAATCAGGGTAGAATGGGGGAATGTAATTTTGGAAATTCCAAAATAACTTGCTCTAGGTGCAAAACAAGGACAAGCATAAAGGAGTGGGTATGAAATGTTACTGAAGGGTTCTTGTACCAGCACTGAGCTAATAAACAGTACTATGTGCACTTTGGACAAAATCTTAGCTGGGGACAGACATATCCAGAAAAAATTTTCATCATGGAATAAGTAAGCTTAATGAAAAATGTTTTGTAAGTATACCATGTTATATTATGTTATGCAGACAGAGTCTCAGATGAAATTCATCAGATGAAAGGTCCGCTTGAAAAACTTAGTGACGAGTTGGAAGCCTTAATGTTACAACATGGAGAAACAAAGAGTCGAGGTCAGTGTTAAAAGAAAAAGATATTTCACTGGTTCAAGAAATAAATGAAAGTAACCATTCAAAATTAATGTAAAAAATCTTATTAAATGGTAAGGTAGTAACAATGTCTGAATCTGTTACTTTAATTATGTATGAAAATAAGGAAATAATATGTGTTGTTACATGCGCTTGAACTCTGGTATCAAAAAATGTAAATGTATTTGTAACGAAAAGCTCCAAAATCCCACATTGATGGCATGACTAATTGAAACAAAAGATCTGACATGGATAGAAAGTAAAAATCTAAGGGCAAATCATGCAAGGTGATTCCACAGGCTGAGTTTCAAGCTTTTTAATGGAAGGGTTTGTCCTATTTCATTTAACACCAAGATCCTTTGTCAGATTGTAAACAAACCATGTTTTCTTGCAAAATCCGTCTCTCCTAGAAAACATCAGGAGTCGCTTTGAACAGCTGAGAGCTAAAATTGGAGAATTAAGTGAATATTTAGCCTCTTTGAAGACAGAACAAGGAGATACAAAGGATGAAGGTAAGCTGTATCAAAAAAAAAGTATTACGATAAGCCAGTCTGTTTGAGGATAATATTTGGCTTAAGCAAGTTGTTTTTGGTGGCCATTGGTAGTAACTAGTAATACCATTTATTTTTCTGCCCCTTTTTCCCTCCCCCCTCTCCCCCNAACGAGTTGATTTCTCTTCCTAAGTAATAAAAATGACGAAGTAAAACTCATGTGCTTGCCATTTTTGCACTTGCTTTCTTTCCTTTTGATGGAAATAGTTGGAGGACAAGTATCAGTGTAAATAGAGGTTATGGGTATTAACTGTCAGTTGATTTGTACCACATGACGTAAAAGTAGGAAATAGAGTTGTGCGACAATTAATGAGTGGGTTGTCTTGATTTACCACCAAATTCTCAAAACTGATTTACAAAAGAGATAGTGTAGCAGAGAGGAGAATTAACGATCAGATCTTGGGAGTGAAAGGATTAATTGAGTTCGGACATTACTTCCAGACAATTTTTGTACCATGGAATGAGAAGAAGCATGAAATAGAAATTTAATAATGTTGTATGTTGTATGCATCAGCAGCACCATCATTTCCTTCTACAAAGGGGACAACCAACTATGCTCGACTGTGTCGTCTTCTGGTGGATTTTGGGTCCCAGGTCTTGAGAGACAGTTTTGATGCCATACACCCTCCAGTAGGACTTCAATCAATTTTGACGCGTCACCCAATGCGTGCAACACTGCTGACTCTACGGACGAGAGTCCTGAATCCTATACAATGGGGAAAGTTGTATCCAAGTGTTCCATCATCTGTTTCATCAGCAAACTTTGATTTTTTCTTACTATTGATTCTATTGAGGAATATCTGTGGGTTGACTCCTCCCGCGACTGGATGGGACAGTCTCCCACTTGCCACAGATGTTAGCAAAGAAGCCAACATAGCCAGGCTAAAGTACTACCGTAATGTTGTGTATGGCCGTGCCAGCCAAGCCTCTGTGGATGATGCAACATTTAACATCTACTGGCAGGATATCAGTGATGCTATAATAGGTCTGGGAGGAGCAAGTTATGAATCTGGTATCAGTAAGCTTAAGAATGAGTGTATGGACCCACTCATTAAAGTCAAAATGAAAGAAAGGATGCGAGATACTCAAGGTACGTGTATACGTAGATTAATGTAACAAAGAAACAAATTGCAAGGCAAATCATGTTAATATTATGCAAGACATTTAGATTATAAGGCCTGGTTGGATCAACGGTTTGAGTTTTTCGGTCTCTGTTGCATTCATCGTGTGCGCGAATTCTCAATAAATTATTGTGGTAGTAGCTACAGGTGCAGTTGTTCATAAGACATCTCAGTCAACGCATAGACCACCTTCATAAATGGCTGCTTTATAAATATTCTTTTGTTCAAATTTAAATTAGCCCTTCTGGCCTCGCTTGAGATAATGTATTCTTTTGAATTTTGTACTGGAGAACGAGGCCAGTA